TAGTTTCTCATTCAAAAATTCATACACAAGTTGTTTTGTGACATTGGTTGCAATCCCCACAATGTGTCAGCACTCTCCACCTTTTTACCCTGGGTTCTCAAATATCCATTCATCCAGTTTTCCTGTCCCTTCCTGCCTTCTCATCTTTGATTTTGGCCAGGTGTTGCTCATTTGGCCTTATTCTTGATTGAACTAAGAAGCACGTTCCTCATGTGTATTATTGTTTGTTTTATAGACCTGTCTAATGTTTGGCTGAAAGGTAAACTTTGGGAGTGGCTTCAGTTCTGAGTTAGCAGGGTGTCCAGGGGCCATAGTTTCAGGGATTCCTCCAGTCTCTGTTAGACCAGTAAGTCTGGTCTTTTTTTTTTTAATTTGAATTTTGTTCTACATTTTTCTCCCGCTCTGGCCAGGACCTGTATCGTGATCCTTGTCAGAGCAATCGGTGGTGGTAGTCAGGCACCAGAAGGCTGCATTCCGTGGCATGGCACTAAGCCTTTGTGATCTGGCCCTCCTGCCTTTCCAGAGTCACCTCCATCTGTGCTCCTTCATGTTAAATTCCTATTACATCAGAGACCAAGGCGTGGAAGGGGAACCCTGTGCCCTGTTCACCATCTTGAACTGGAAACCAGTAACTATTTTTTGGGTGCATGAATGAAGAGCAGTTTTTCATTTTTAAGTGACTGGAATTAATAATGGTTATGTTTGGACAAGATGTGTTCTTTTCTACAAAAAAGATCAGTGGAAAGGTATGAAGTTTATCATTTTTCTCCCCTTACAAAAACAGGTGAAAGAAATCCAGGAAGAATTGGATAAATTGAGTCCACATAAAATTAAGCACACTAAGAAGGTATGATGCAATTAAATTATGATTAATACTTTTTATAAATTACGTTTCCAGTGTTGGTATTATGTGTGGGTTCGCTGCATTAATATGATTTTCAGTGCTTATAGAAACCTGTTACTGAGTGAGCACTTTATTCTCAATATGAGGTTGCCTTCTAATGAACAGGTTCTGAAAAACAAATTTTTGTTGTTGCTGCTCGTGTAAGAAACTGAGAATAGGAAGAGAAAGACTTTGTCATTAGAAAACCTTTAAGCTTTACAATTTTCTTTATTATGAAAAAGTTTTCACAGTAAGAAGAGCTTTCTGTAGAAAGAAGATACATTGTAAATACTCTATGGGTTGGGTTAGTGTTAGGAAGTTCTGAATGTGGAATTAACTTCTCCCATCTCATTCGTTGCCAGTCGTGGGCAGTGTCTAGGCTGGCAGCTGCACACCGTGGAGCCATTCGGGCCCTACAGATGTTTGTCACTCAGTTTACTGACCGAGGGGAACACCCGGTTCCCACGCGGGGTCGGGAATTAGGCAGTCTCATCCGCCAGCTTTCACTCTGTTCTGCCAAGCTGGATTCTGATCCTTCTGTCCCTGACGTGGTTATAGATATCCTGCAACAAATTGAGGTATGAGATGCGCTCCAGTCGATAATAAACGTGTATTGTTCCTAAGTGGGAGGTAATACTGTCGCCTAGTTTTATTAGGATTTATGGAGAATATAAGACAAAACTGCTACCTAGTGAGTTAAAGCTTTACAGTGGATGAAGAGGTACTTGATTTTTATTTTATTGTTTTTACCATCTAGTCTGTATTATTGTATTATTGTATTTTACTTCTTTGAGAATTGCCGGCAGGTGACAACTCTTAACCGGGTCCGTTAATTAAACAGTATTTTGTCCCTGACCATGCCAATTAGTAAAGAATTTATTACTGTAGAAAGGGAAAATGGTAAAAGTACTCTTAGAGTAGTGCTAAGATTAGAATATCAGTGTTTAATCTTGATGGATCTTTGAAGACACACAGAGCCTCAAATCCTGTGATACGGCCTTCCCTGGCATGTGCTAATCATGAATGGATGGTGTTCTTAGTTCTGATCTTTGACAAAGACAGTAATAATACTATTCCCTTAAATCTCTATAGTTCTTTGAAATTTGTAGAGTGCCACCACATAATTGTGCCATTTGATCTGTACCACAACAGTATGATTTGCAATAGATTTTATTGCTGCTATTTTACAGATTTAAAAAAAAAAACACAACAAAACCAAGGTCAGAGAGACTACACAGTTACTTCCCTTGAGGCTAGGAATCAAATTTCTATCTCCTGAGTCTCATTCCAATGTTATTTCCACTACGCCATATATTTTCACTCACGAATAAAAAGACGATCTCTATGTTAGCGTGGCATGGTAAGAGCTGTTAGCTCTAGAAAAAGCCGGTGTAGCGATGAGAATTCGGGACTGAGTGACATGCTGGTTCTACCATTAACAAGCTCCTTAATTGTCTTTAAGGCCCCTTCTGGCTTTAAAATTCCATTGTACAGTAAATATGTGCTTTTCATTGGTTACATACGTATGTACACAGCACGCTATCAGAAATGTTAACATCAAATGCAGATCTCAGAACTTTAGACAGCATACCAAGTCACATGATGCTTCTTCAGCTTACCCACAAGAAACAATTATTGTCCAAAATGATTTCATTTAAAGAATCTATCTTCATAATCCTAGAAAGGCTCTTGAGATTCTCTAGTCCCTCTTCACAATTTTGAGCAAAATCCCCTTAAGTACATTTTCTTAACATAATGTTTATCTCCCTTACTTTTGAAAATATTGAGTGCAAGAAATTTATTATCCTTCTTGTGGATGCTATACCATCCCTCAGCTTTTCTAAGGAGTACTTTATTACTATCTGAACTAAATCTCCCTGGCTATGCTCACTTATCCTTATTTTGTATTGACTAGATAGAGACTAGGCCTTTATTGTGCCTGCTAATGAATGTGGATACCTAAAAGGTATGCCTTTTAGGAAAGCGGGAAGCAGATCTGCCACTACTATAGATGAGTGAGCAAAGCCACTGGCCTTAAGTTTCCTTTAGTTTATGAAATTTATGTGAAATATGTTTGCTCACTTAAAATACTACTTGTTAGGTTTTCATCGAGAATTAAAATGCTTTTAAAGCATATAGGATTACATTCCAAGGACTATAGTAGTTAATTTCTAAAAAAGATGATCCTAAATTTTATGATTTAGATACCCTTGAAAGCAGTCATTCTTTATCTCTTTGCTATTGCTTTCAGTGAGCTAAACATGTAAAAAGCATGCAGAAGTTTCTTTTATTAATTAATTTGATGTCCTAAATGATAAAGTTTTAAATTTAAGTTAAACATTTGGTTGACCGTTAGAGATAGCAATTTATTAACACTTTTCTGTAGAGTCCTTATTTTCAGTTTTGTGATTAAAAAGCATACTTTTGTGATATAAGCTAAGAGAATAATTGACTGTTTCATGGCAGGACTTGGAATCCCTCCTGGAAAAGAAATTGTCACCAAAAAAGGTGAAGAAATATGCCTCCGAAATTCGGAACAAATTTCCTGTTGGTAGCCAGAGGGTCTTAGAAAGGTGGCCAAGTACATCGTCAAAGAGTGAGAGGAGACTCTTTGGAGCAAAGGAGATGTTTCCACAGGAAACAAGGCGACCTTCAGTAGCAAAGAAGTTGCTTGTAGGTATGTGTCTTCAAGTGTTTATTGCAGGATATTTTATTCTTTGAAACTTGTCTGGACTCTCACAGATACTGCACTGAGGGGAAAATGAGAATTTAGAAGCTAGTCCATAATAGATGCACTTTAATTAGGATAAGGGAATGGTAACCAAGATACTTCCTTAGGTTGGAAGCTAGAGTATTCTCCCATAGAGGAGGATGGAGAAAGTAAAATTCTCTATTCTTGTATCGGAGCTTTTGGGCTACCCAAAGTAAATTTCTACAGAGCTAGAAGTTAGAATCCTACCTTACTTTTAGAGTTTGTGTGTTTACATTTTAATGGTACATATACACACACATATACATACATACACTGTGGTGAAATGAGTTCCCTTATGTGGTCTTTTGCCTTAATTCTTTGGAAAAACAGCTTGAGAGGTTTTTCCCCTTAAGCCCTGAGGAGTTAACCTTTGCCCTAGTTTTCTACCTCAGAGGGTTTGTTACATTTCCTTGGTAAGCTATAAACAACTTAGTTTGATACTTTTTTTCTGATGCTGGGCTGCAGCCTGCCCTGTGATTGGTTTTCACCTTGCAGGGATTGGTCAATGGACGATGCAAATGAGATGACTATAGCCTGCTATGCAAATGAAGAGTCTGTGGCACTGAGAGGGGATTGGTTAGTTTATGCCCCCCCTGCTGGGAGGGGCCATGTCTTGAAATTGATAAGAAGTTGTGTATATATATGCAGCCAGCCCCACAGAGGTTTTACAGATGCAAAGAATCAAGAAAAGAAGCAATAGGAAGAAGGAGAAGGAAGAAAGAAGAGACAAGAAAGAAGCAGCAGAGAGTAAGGAGGCAAGGAACCTCCTAAAAGAGCTGTTACACAGGTTAAGGACTGTAACACTGAAGACAGCAACAGACCCAGAAGGGGCCCGGTAGCAGAGCTGGCGCTGACAGGCCCGGAAGGGGCCTTGCGGCAGAGGCGGTGGTGACAGAAGGGGCTTCGAGGCAGAGTCAGTGGCGACCGAAGGCAGGCCAGAGGAGACTGTCGTTGGGGCTGAGGGGAGCCCTACATGGCCGAGAGGAGCTGAGAGAGCTGTCCTGAACTGAGGAAGGGAGACTTGGCCTTACATACTTCCTGATCCTGATCCTGAGTTGTAGCCTGTTGATTCTGATCCCGAGTCGTATCCTGTTACTTCCTTAATAAACCACTTAACTGTAAGTAAGGTCTGTGAGTTCTGTGTGGCCATTGCGATGGATTATTGAACCCAGAAGAGAAGTAGAGAGTGCTTTGGGAGGGACGCTGGTGTCAGAATTTGTAAAAAGGTTGAAGGGTGGAGATAGGTTTAACCTCCACCTCATATGGATCAGCCTTGGACTAATCTCTGTTTGCGTTATTCCCCCTGAAGTTAGACAGGTTCTGATGATGCTATTGCTATTGCTGCTGCTGCTGCCATTTTACATACACATACATACAGGCATTTTTGTATGTGTGTGTGTATATATATGTATACGCACATGCACATATATATATATATTTTTTTTTTTTTTTTTAGGTAAGTAATAAACAAACAAATCCTTGTCATTCCAAGAAGTGAAATTGCTGGGTTATATCATGTGTACATTGTAAATTTGAAACATGCTGCCAAATGGCCCTTAGAAGTGTGTTTACAATTGTACTTTGACTGGCTATCACCATTAGTATGTATTTCCTCATATCCTCACCAAGCACCTATATGTTACTAAATTTAAAACAATTTCTACTGTCACGGGTGAAAAATGGCATCTTACTGTTTTATATTCCATTTCCCTGATGCCTAGTGAGGGCTATGGTTTCTTTCATGTTTTTCTTGGCCACATTATTTCCTCTCTCTGATATGCCTGTGCATATCATTTGCCCATCTCTGCTGGGTTGTATGTCTTTTGCTTATGGATATATTGGTGTTTTTTTTTTTTATTGTATTCCAGGTGAAGGCTTACAGAACAAATAGTTTTTCTCATGAAACAGTAGTACACATGTTGTTTTATGACATTGGTTAACAACCCCACAACATGTCAACCCTCTAACTTCTAAACCTTTTTTTTTGGTGAAAATACACATAGCCAAAGATACACCATTTCAGAAATTTCTACGTGCACAGTTCGGTGACATTGACTACGCTCTTCCAATTGTGCTGCTATTCTCACTTAAGATAAAGGCTTACAGAACAAAATAGTGTCTCATTTAACAGTTACTATACGTTGTCCTATGACAACGGTTAACAATCTCACAACACATCAACAATACCCTTACTCAACCTTGGGTTCCCTATCACCAGCTTCCTTGTCCCTTTCTGCCTTCTGGCCCTTGTCACTGGACTACTGTATCTCATTAGTCCCATTTGGTTTTACGGGGCTGTCCACTCCCAGGCTGAATGGTGAACCTCGGAGATAACTTCACCACTGAGCTAAAAGGGTGTCTGTATATTGGTGTTTTTTTGTATATTCTGGATCATGATCTTTTTTGGTTTAAATATATTGCAAATGTTTTCTTCCTGTCTTTGTAATTTGTTTATGATGTCTTTTTTGGTATAGACAGTTTTAGTTTTGGAAACAAATTCATTAATCTTTCCTACATATTTTAATATTTGATGAGGCAGTTCTCCCTTCTTTCTTTTCCTTTGTCACAATTTTTCTGATGAGCGTTGCTTATCTTCCAGAAGAATTTAGAATGAGCTTGTCAAGTTTCATGAAAAATACTGTTGGGATTTTGATTGGTATTACACTGAGTTTTCGATTAATTAGGGGAGAAATTATATCTTTACAATATGGAGTCCTCCCATCCATTTATTCTTACCTTTTTCTCATTCCTTCAGTTGAATTTTATAATTTTCTCCATAAAAGTCTTATAAATTTCTTGTTAGGTTTATTTCTAGTCTTTATTGCTGATGCAAATGTGATTTTTTTTTTTTAATTACATTTAAACATTGATTATTGCTAGTTACAGGAAAGCTGTTAGATTTAAACATTGCTCTTATATTTGACACCTTGCTGGATCTCTCATTTGTTACAATACTGTATTTCATTGGTTCTAGCACTGGTGTCGCAGTGGTTGAGAGCTTGCTGCTAACCAAAAGGTCAGCAGTTTGAATCCACCACCCATTTCTTGGAAACCCTGTTAGACAGCTCTGTTCTGTCCTGTAGGGTAGCTATGAGTTGGAATTGACTCGATGGCAATGGGTTAAGGTACACATTTGAACATTTCTGAAATTCAAATGTGTTCTTAACATGGATGACATCTTACAGTTAATTAGCAACATTTTAAAATTTCCTATTGATTGTCGTCGTTTTGTTAGGTGCTGTCGAGTTGATTCCGGCTTATAATGACCCTGTGTACAACAGAACAAGACACTGCCTGGTCCTGCACCATCCTCCCAATCGTTGTTATGATTGAGCCCATTGTTGCAGCCACTGAGTCAGTCCATCTCGTTGTAGGTCTTCCTCTTTTTTATTGACTCTCTGCTTTACGAAGCTTGGTGTCCTTCTCCTGGGACTGGTCCCTCCTGATAACATGTCTAAAGTCTGTGAGATGAAGTCTCGCCATCCTGGCTTCAAAGGAGCGTTCTGACTGTACTTCTTCCAAGACAGATTTTGTTTATTCCTCCAGCAGTCCATAGTATATTCAAGATTCTTTGCCAACACCATAATACATAACATATGTAAAATATAATACATAACATAATGATGTTTTATAATCTGTTTTAGATTTGATGAAATACGGGATTTTGTTGGCTAATTCTTTTGTATTTTTCCAGATAAGTGAGATTACCTGTAGATGAGGATGGTTTTGCTTCTTCCTTGTAATTTTAATGTCTTTTGTTTTTACCTTTTTTGCGTTATTGAATGGGTTTTAATTCAGTATAATATTGAATAATAACTGTAGTGGTGAGCATCGTTTTCTCTCCGAGATTTAATTAGAATGACTCTTTATATGTGATGCATACTGTTGAATTTTGGCAGATCTTCATATGAAGTTGAGAAAATTTTGTTTCTGTTTTACTGATTTTCTTTTCTTTTAAAGTGTTAACATAGAGATACATATTGATAGTTTTTTGAAATAATTTTAATATTTTAGTATTGAATGTTTTTGTGTGCCATTTATATTAAAATGTGGACAAATCAAATTTTTTTTTTAATTTAAGTACAACATACGTCTAGAAAAGTGCACAAAATATAAATTTGTGGTTCAGTTACTTACCAGAAAGCAAACATCTGTATAACCACCATCCCTGTAAAAAAATACAACGTTAGGAGGCGGGGCCAACATGGCAGAGTAGTCAGATGCTTCCTGTGGTCCCTGTTACAACAAAGACCTGAAAAAACAGGTGAACTGATTATATGTGACAATCTAGGAGCCCTGAACATCAAAGGCAAAGTTGAGGAATCAGACTGAGTGGCAGGGAAAGAGAGACGGTTCAGAAGAAGCAAGGAGTTGCCAGACCTGACCTGGCGGGAACCAGCACCCTGCAGACCTGATTGGCTGGCCTGTGCAGTAAGGCAAGCAGTGGCGCTTGGGACAGGTTTTCCACATCGGGAGAGACCAAGCGACAGAGTGTACTCAGGCCTTCAGAACCAGTGAAAAGTGGAGCTCAATTGATAAAAGATAAGTACATGGTGTCTAACCTACTGCACAGATCATAAAACACCCCCTTTGGGAAAAACCTCTCTCCGTTTACCTGCCCCCTCCCTGCTGTGCATGGGGTCCTGGGCCGGCTTCAGCAACTGCTGTGTCCCCTGGGCCAGAAGTAGGATCCGTGACACACCCTGAGCCATTCTCCTGGCCTTGGAGAAGGAACAAATTAAAAAACAAGAATAAATAATCTGCCAGCTCCCCTAAGCTGAGAACTTAGGGTAGGCACAGCTCCTTTGCCTAGGCACAGGCATAAGGGATCCACGGACTTTGAATGCCTTTCACCCCTGCATAGACCTGTGTGGGCTCATTTCAACAGCGTAGGCCCTCATTAGCACAGTACAAAAGGGTATATA